TAGTAGTAGTAGTAGTAGTAGTAGTAGTAGTAGTAGTAGTAGTAGTGAGAGTATGAGTAGGAGTAGCACTAGCACTAGCAGTAGCAGCAGTAGCAGCAGCAGCAGGAGTAGTAGTAGTAGTAGTAGCAATCGTCATTGTCGTAGCTATCGTAGTAGTCGTAGTAGCCGGATGCAGCCGGATGTAGCGGGTAGTGACGCTCAAGACCAGCGAGAGTCGTCAGGACCAAGCATGGGATACTACAAGCGCATCCAATGGACGGCTTGGAGTCGGAGCATAATTTCCTTCTGCTCTGAGCTTCCAGCAACGTGGATACATTCTAGGCTTTGACGTAGAAAGTTCTCGTTGTCCTGGAACACTACAGTCTACGAATAGTAGGTCTAGTCATGAGTCATGAATTTTAAGCACAGCGTGTAGTGATTTGTGTGCTGATCCTCAATCATAGTTCCGATTTGGATGACTTGTGCGTCCTGAGCAGTCTTTCGGATGGAACGAAACAAAAAGAAGACTTCAAGCAAATTGCTGCAGTCTTCAACTCCTCGCCGGACTTCTTTCTGCGATCAAGCCGTGATTCAGCCTGGAAATGGGTCCCTTTGATTTGTGTGTGTGTGTCTAGTGAAGAACTTTGAGATCTTGCACAATCATATCAGAAGGAATGAAAGCAGGAGGTCTGTTTATGAATTGTGATGGTGGTAGTGCCTAGGGTTTCCTGCCTGTCGAGTCAAGTGCGCAGAGATCTCAGTCTGTTCCTCCTTCTGAGAGACCTTCACTCGCAAAGCGTTGAGCGCAAATCTTTCTCTTGCTCAAAGGAGGATCTCGAAGACTCTCTTTCTTGACATGTTCCAACCTTGTTAAGTCTTTAATATAGCAACCAAGCGAACATGCAGGCTTATATAAGAGTCAAACCAGCACACACCAAAACAGACCTGACCGGACCAATCCCTTCAAGATTGGCACACGGTCTTGATGGCCCAATAACATGTCAAAGAACTGCAGCCAAAGAAGACTTGTGAATGCTGAGCACGGTCAGGGTTAGTTGATATTCGTTCTTTCATTCAGATTTTGTTGTGTGGCATCAGTTTCGCTGGCTGGAGTTCGGGCTGCCAATGGGTCACTTTTGGACTTGGGCGCATCGTCGTGACGCAGAAATCCCTGCAAGCAGCAACTAGACGACAATGGGGCCCGATGGCAAGAACGCGATGTGAGTAGTGCTGTGAAAGAACAAGGTTTACTTATAAAAATCACATCGTTATAAAACAGAAACCACACAGAGCCACCACCTCATTTGTTGTCGAGGAGGTGAGGTCATGGTTTTAGTCGAGGCTATAACACGGCCTCCCACCAGTAGAACCGTACCACAACGCAAACGCTAGAAAAGCACCGACTCACAACCTCAAATACCCGGCGAAGCCACAGGTGTTACCGCCGTGCATTTTCATGTGGAAACGTACTGCACCACTTCGAAAATGGTAGAAGCAGACCGAACTCCAGAACCACTTCATCCTGCGCCCCCCCAAAACCCGGCCAAGCCAAGGGATGAGGATGTCATGAGTCGCCACGCAGAAGTGTACCACTTTACCACCGAAACTCGTGGACAAAAAAAATTGCACTTCTGAGCCGAACACACACACACGGGAAGTCTGCTGAAACGCGGAGGAAACCCGCAGACCGCTGCCCACGGATTGTCCAACTGTGCGTTTCGTGTAGGTTTCGCGCGTCCGACACTCACAAATCAATGAATGCCATACAGCTTGGGCGGTGAAGTGTCACCGGAACCTGAAAGGTCACTCCAATTCCAAGTTCCAAGTCGAGCTACTCAGAGCAACCTGACGAGGGTTCTTGCGAACGCATTGTGTGTTTCCTCAAGCGGAGGCTTCTTCTCGCAAAGCATCTTTTCATAATGCTCATCTTCAATGTCATGTTCATATGTTCTCAGGACTCTTACCTTCTTTACTTTTGCCTTCTTCATCTTCATCTTGTAGATGTATGTGTCCGGTGTAAGTAGATATGTAGATTTTGACATGGGTGTCGTTTTCTCCCTCTTCGTGATCTTTCGAACTTTTCTCTTAAGGCGGCGCGGAAGGCTGGATCAGCAGCACAAAACGTAACCCTCTTGACCTTTTTGGCTCCAAAACGGAAAAGCGTCAAGCTATCGAATCTTCTCAAGGTGGAACAGTGCGCTGAAAAACTGCAAGATTCACCACGCCGAAATTGAGGTTGCGCTAGGCGTTGTGACGCGAAGTCGAAAAAACAACATGGACACTGCGAAATGCTCGGACCCAGAATTGGCCTCGAGGATGTGTCAAGTTTTGTCCTTGCCTGGCCTGTGTGTGCAGCACGACTGCGCTGGACAACTTGAAGTCTACATAGTGGGAATTTGCAGCATCTCTCACCTCAACAGTGACATTGTGGGTGTGTGTGTGTGTGTAGGGGGGGGCAATTCAGCACTGTCAACAAGCTGCGGAGCAAGAAGGCACCTCCAATAAGTGCACTGCGTCCCAAACACCATTCTTCCCGTCCCCTTGGCACGCAAGCTGCATCTGGTTCTCTTCATGTCCACATGCTGAGCATCAGGCCAAAAATCTTCGGGAGCTCTTTGCGAATAAGAAAGGCACCTGCGTAGCCCTGAGCAAGAAAGAGCTCCAAATATTTTATGCAAAACTCCAGGATAGCAGAAAACAACAATTTCCATGCCTCTTCAAGGTCCCAAAGGTACACAGAAGAGACGCTGCCCTCAGGTTCCAAAAGGATTTTGTCTTCAAGACACTGACTCAGTCCCAAGGCTGTAACTTCATAATAGCTGGTTGCATATGCTGCAAACACCTAGCACAAGCAAAATGAACTCGCCAAGCAAAGGACAAAGCACAAGAAAGACTGAACATTTTTTGCTTCTAAACCACACGCCCTTTTAATTTACCTTTTTGGCCTTTGCGCAATACAAATACACATGCTGGGCCTCGTTGAAAGTTTGTTCCAAACGTCCCAGGCGCCCTGGTGGTCTGAAAAGCTTCTCCTCACACAGTGTTGATATAATGTGAAGGAATCCAACCTGCAGATCTGTCGAATAGATCGAACGGCATACAATCCGTGCAACCTAGCGAGGTATACAGGAACCTCGGACTGCTTGGATGAACATCAGTATTGCGAAACTCATCTTGGTTCTGGGCCTCTTCCGCTTCACCACCTGGAGGTGAAGGAATGTACCTGCAGCCAGTGCGGAACAAGCACTCTCTGCGCTCGCACATCAACACACAAAGGCACCTGTCTGTCCAGGGAGAACGATGCGAACCTGCTGCACATCAGGACAAGGAAAACGGAAAACCCTTGGACCATGGACCATACCATACATTCATACATTTCATCATACATTCAATCTGAACCCTCAGGAGCCCAAACTCCCCCCATCCCACAGCACCCTAGCGGAAGTCCGTTGAAAATCCGAATCCGACTTGCCATGGAAAGGGCAAGAAAAGCAAAGCTTCTGCGCCCCCAAGGTGCCAAAGAAAACGTCCTGCACACAAGGCCTGTGGAGAAGCTTTAACCCCAACAACTGCAAAACCACCGGTACCATGCTCGAAGGGAAGGCAAATGCTTGTACAATCTGCTTTGTAAGACCCAGAAGCATCAGCATTGCAAGCATTTCATAGACCCCAAGCCATTCTTGCCCAAAAACAACACAGAACTTCCATTGCATTGTCAGAGGCAGCTGCCAAACCTGGCCTGCATGGTAATTGTACTCAGATGCGATGAAGTACCTGCCCCGCTAGATCTATGCATACGATTGCATACAACTCTTCAAACAGTACAGAGTCTGCAAGCTAGTTGCATACTTCTCCAATACAGAAACCAAAAGCATCGCTTAAGGATTCGGTGCGCCTGTTGGCTTTGAGGTCTTCTTTTATCTTTAAGGGGCGAGTGACATAGGGCGCAAGTCCCAGCTCCTGGCGATGCGTGAGCAGGTCGCACCGTGAAGCAAGTTCCGACTACTATCATTCTAAAGTAGTTTTTCTAGAACTATTCTGCACATGTATTTCATGAAATTACTTCTGTCAGATTAAAGCCCTTTGAGCTTGGCTGTGGGGTGCACAGGCTGGATAGAGAAGCCATGTGTTTCTTGAAAGTCAGGGTGGCAGCATACAGCGCAAGTTCTAAATCTCAACTTAAAAGCGGCAACCTGCTCTTCTGCAATTCTTCAAGCTGACATTGCTCTTCTGCAGTGCGTGGTCCCTTTTTGTCTTTTCAAAAGCCACAAGAAATTCTTTTGGGCGCGCTGCATGCGCTGATCCAAAAGACCTGAGCCTCCAGGCAGTGTGTATCGCCGTGTACTGTGTTCTTTGTTTTACATATCCTCTTAGTTTATGCTTTCGACTCTAGATCTTTGGATCGTTTTATATTGTGCTTCTCTTTGATGCTGTTCATGATTTGTCTAGTACTAAAGCACTTGGGCTCTGCTCAGGTCTTCCGGACACTTCCTTAGACAAAGACGTGAGTGAGAGGGCAGATGGATTCAAGAAAGGCTCCTCAGAGTACACACGTTTGAAGCTCAAGCTCCTTGCTGATTGGCATCTGTCTTCATCAAATCTGCCTCTTACTGAAGACTAGGTGCGGCCAAGCTTCATCTCGGATTCAGATGATTTGGAGACGAATGAAACAAGCTCTTTAAGACAAAGGCTTCAGCCAAGAGGGTTTCCTGGGTTGTTCATTCCCTCTGAAACAGCTCTTGTAACTTAGTAACAAGCAAGCAGCTGTGTAATAAAAAGAACTGTTCCGAGCGGTCAAGTTCATCACTTCTCCTCTTGGACTCTACACAACATGAAAGCAATGACAAAAAAAGTGCCAGCTTTTCTGCTAGGATTCGATCTCTTGATTTCGCCACTTTCCGGTGGGAAGCTTCTGCATAAACAACATGAGCTGCTGATAATCCATTTGTTTCAGCTGTGGAGACCAGTAAATCAGGAATACTGCACACACCTCAGTTGGTTCAGTCCGAATTGTGGTTGAACTACCTGGTATGAGCCCAACTCTTGACACCTCATCAAATTCAACCCTCATTTACTGATGCACTTTCAATGTAAGGTGCTGGCATAGACATGAAATGATGAAAACCCTTCCAGCGGCTCCGCAATGTATGTATCCCATAAGCGAATCACACAAGGAAAGGGAAATTCTCTCAATAGCAGGCAGTTCATCCATCTGAAGGAGAGCTGCAGAAAATCTAGTCCCTGCTCTTCCAAATGATCGTAGAGCTTTTGGTCAATTCGATGCACGATCTCCCGTAGCTTTGCAACCATTTGTTGAATTCCAGGCTGACCACTTGTATAGTGGTCTTGAATATCACTTAAGAATTTTGTCAAACACCAATAGGCTCCAGCCTCCACAGCATCAAGCGTATCATCGCTTGCAGCATCCACATTTATCTCTTCTGGCAAGCAATCAAGCTCGGAAGCCAGTAGGACAACCACAAAAGGAGTTGCAAGGTCATTGATTCCTTGAACATAGCCGCTTGCAGGATGTCGCAAAGACCAAATAAAAAGAATCCGTTCCAGCAGCTGCTGTATTCGCTGATGACCAAATATCGGAAGGCCCGGAGATGTCCGTGGGATGTCCAGCCGAATCTGACGAAGTATGGCCCCATCAACATCCCCACTGGGAGCTTCTGCTTCTACCGGGAGATAATGCCTTCTCCGAAGCTCTTCATATTCCTCTCTTTTCTTTTGCAACCCAGAAGGCTGTCGGTCCTGTACAGGCGGCAGGTAACCCAATAACATTTGCCACGATTGTGCCCTCACTTTGGGATCCTCTTCTGGTGCTCCAGACCAAAGAAGCTCTCTCAGGGCCGCAAGATCGACAGTGGGCAATGACAACCTGACAAATAGAGCTGCAGGTCTTGATAGGGAAAACGAGTCTCCACAACGCAAATCTTAAAGTTTGACCTTGTCCGCTTGTCTTGACTTGTCATGCCATGCCCTATCCCCTATCTTCCCCCACTTCGGCCTTTGAACCAAAGGGAAGCATAAATATGCTTTGGATTGTAGTGATTTCAGCTGGAAAGAAAAGTACAATACTTAATTGATGCCAACCGAAGACTTTATCAGTACCCTGACAACCCTTCAGCCACCAGTGAAGAGCAGTGCTTTTTCTGTGGCGAAGTGGCTTTGCCCCGGGTCTCTCAGCTCATTGCACTTTCGAGTCTTAGGAGAATACATCTCTAGTATTTGTATATATAATTGCATTTCGAGAAGACCACCTTGGTCAAAAGCTGACGCCATAAACTTTGGCTCAAGCCGAGCACGCAATGGTCAAAAGAGACCGCAGAAACCCCAGGTTCCAGCTACCACTGCGTTTTGCAGTGGTAGCGGAGCCGGTTTCGTCCAGGGACCGCGTGATAGGCGCCATGGATCATCCTGCTCCTCCTCCTGGTTTTGCTCCCGAGGATGCCAACTGGCAGACCACGGCCAACAGGCCTACTGGCCCCGCGGCCACCGAAGGCCATTCGGCCGGTGCTGGATCGCTGTCCTCTGATGGGAGTGACCCTTGGGTTCGTCGCGACCCGTGGACACGACTGCCCGCTCAGGAGAACGTGAACACGGACTACTTGCAGTTCCTGCAATGGCGACAAGGCCTTGAAGCTGGACCGGCGACACCTCCCACCGGAGCACAAATGACACCTCCGGTACGAAATGATTTTGTCCGCCTTGGAGCCCAACCAGAACTGCACCCACTACATTGGGGACAGGCTGCACGAGAGGAAGTCGAACGTACCACCGCAGGTCCTCCTCCAGAATGGGATGGGGCTAAGATGGAGTTCCGCGACTACAAGATCAAGGCGAAGCTTTGGCTGCGGACGACTCGAACTCCACCTACCGCCAGGGGACCTATGTTGCTCAAGGGCCTAACCGGCCCTCCTTGGGAGCACATGAAATTCCTCGCAGCCGACGATGGTTGGTTGGATAATCCCGATAACGGTCGAATCCTCATCAACCTGATGGACACCAAGGAGTACTATGGAGAAGAGGAGAGGGAATCCATGCTGGCGGCATGCAGCCGCATCACTTTTCATCTTCGCCGAGCCAAAGGGGAGAAGGCTCAGGCCTTCATGCTGCGTTGGGATGACGCAGAACGCAGGGTGAAAGAGAAGGGTGTTAACCTTCCGGGAGAATATCAGGGCTTTCTCCTGGTAACAGCCCTTCAGTTGACAAGTGACCAAATCAAATTGCTGCTCAACTACACTCGTGGCTCCCTCCAGGTCTCGGATGTCATGGCCTGGCTACGGATCCACGAGACGGACCTCGACATTACCACTCTCGGCAATGACAAGAAGAAGTCCACCAATGAGGTCCACACCATCTATGAGGAGACGGTTCAGGAAGAGGGCGACGTTCTGGACATTGAGGGCGACCTGGTCCAGGACGAGGACACGGAGATGTTGCTAACCACCTTGGCCGAGATGTCCGATGGAGAAAATGATGGACAGACCACCACGGAGATCAGCGAGGGCGAGGCTAAAGAGGTCCTTCTGACTATGCTGAAGGAGCGCCCTCGTACCAGATCCTTTCAGGGGGCGATGAAGGCCAAGAAGAACCGTGATCTAGCTCGAGGTTTTGGAGCTGGCCGTGATGGAGCCCTTCGACCAGGAACTTACAAAGTATCAATCGAAGAACTGAAACGTCGGACGAAGTGTCACCGATGTCAGGAGGTGGGTCATTGGAGTCGAGAATGTCCCAACAAGGGACGGGGCAAGGGAGACGGAAAACCCAAAGACATTCACTACATCACGGCGGAGACCTCCGACGAGATCGAGTTCCTCTACTTGGATGCTGACGCGGCTAGCCATTCCGACCCGACCGTCAAGGACACTCAAGCGGAGTTTGTATACATGAGCGTGCCGCCGATCATCACCCATGAGATTCTTACTATGGAAACCTCTGTTGAAGCGGGTTGTGCTACAATAGATACGGGGTGTCAACGGATGGCCATTGGTCTTGATGCTCTAGAAAGGTACCAAAGCATGCTGCCCCCGGAACTGTACATTCGATTTCGTCGAGAACGACACCAGTTTCGAAGTGTTCATCAAACGTCGTGCACGGAAAGAGTGGCAATTATGCCCAGTTCCCTTGGCCCCCGAGGGAGCTACCTCAAGCCTGCCATTTTTGAAGATGAAACATGCCGTAGTGCACCCTTTTTGATCAGCTTGCCCTTCCTCCTACATTGTGGCATTCAACTACATTTAGACCCCACTTTTGGACTCCTGTTGAGATCAAAGAAACTGGGTTTTTCAGCCAGATGTCATTTGGGTCCGACGGGTGCATTGAGAGTCTTTTTACAAGATTTTTCAGAAGATCAAATTCGGCGGTTGGCAGGGACACAGGACAGCAAACATGTCGAGTATGAGCTACTACGAACGGAGCATTCAGCTGGCTCAACAGAGAATGCTCGGTCGTCCCATTCAGTCCGTCCGGTGAGTGAACATGCAGAGCCGCCCCAAGAGGAACCGCACCGAGGCAGAGGAGAGCATCTCGATGATTCGAGCGTGGTACCGGATGGTACTACGTCTCTTCGTCATGATCACCCAAGCGCTTCGGCATCAAGCTCTCTCCCAGATCCGCATTCCAGGACCACGGGGCATGAGGTCTCGACAGATCATCCAGTCCGCCGATCTCCTAGAGATGGAGGAGTTGGGCGAGATCGTCAACCACTTGGGGGAGAAGCTGCAGGAACGAAGCCTCCAGGAGGCACGAGGCCGATATCCATCTCCGATGACGGAGGCATCCCAGTCCACCGACACCGACACACCGACCGAGTGGAGCAAGGAACCGCAGCAATCCCCACGGGACCGGAAGCCAACATGTGGCAGATACCCCAGGGACTGGATCTCCGATCAGCCCCACAGTGCCACTGCCAGCTCAAGACCAAGCTGTACACCTCCATGACGCAGAAGAAC